TTTTTTTTATTATAATTATAATCAGGAGTTTAAACTTTTAAAAATCTTTATCAAAATCTAACAAATACTTTATTAAACTACAAGTTCTTGACATTAAATAATAAAACTTACATTCGTGAATTTTTATCATTTTATATCATTATAAATATTTTGTAGAAATGTTAAACTTAAAAATATTACAAATTTAATTGTATGAATTGTTATGATTTAAAAAAACGCATAAATGTTTTTTTTAATGCAATTAAATAACTAAAAGACTTACTCATTTAAATTATTTAATAGCTGTTTCAACTGACTTCCTGAAATTTTAAAATTTGCATATAGTTTTCATTTTTAATTTTGATAATAGTTTAATTATTTTAAATAATAATCTTAGAACTCGATTTATATATCAAATAATTTTAATTTGAATATATAAATTTATTCATGTCATAAGGTCCTTTGCATGTGAAAAGTTTGTGGTTTTATTTTATTTTTATTAAAAAATTATTTTAATTCAACATAAAAAAACTTAAATGTATGGTGAGTTTAGTTTTGATTCAATATAAATTTCGAATTAAACTCAAATGATACTTTATATGTTCAAATTTAACAGTTTGTGTTATCATATAAAATTATTAAATATTATCATAAAAATAATAAATATTTTAAAATAAAATATTTCAACTAAAAAATATGCCGTGATTTTTTTATAATTATTATTATATTTATATTTTTTTAAATAAAAATTTATTATATATTGAGAAATATGCACATATATAATTACAACACAATTAAACATTAAAATAATATGCAAAGATATATGTAAGCTATTATAGTGAATTAATTCTAAATATATATTATTACATTTAAATATAATAAGCAGTTTAAATTTGAATCAAATGTTAAGAACAATATTTTGAAAAATAATTGATTTTTAGTTTTTCAAAGAGTAGTTAACACGTTAAATTAATATGTTCCAAAAACATATTTGAATAAGAAGTGACATGAATGGATCCTACTGGGATCTTTTAGAGAAGTAAACAGGTAATATTATTTTGACATTGATTACCTAGTTTTAGAGATATTTTAGTCATTTAAAAAATTTATTTTTTTATTTATAAAGAAAGAAAAATAATGAAAGATAAAATAATAGATATAAAATGCATATAAAATTTTGTTAGGTTTCAAAATAGTCCTACTCAACATGTACAAGTCTTATTTATCAAAATTGGTTAAAAATATTTTTTTTAAAGTTGACCATATATATGCAAATAGACTTTTTAAATTTTTTATTTTAAACATTTTAAGTTAAACATTTTTTAACATTTTTTAAATCTTGCAATGGAGATTAGTTATCAAACACAGAGTTTACATATAATTTACACAAGAAATT